GAAACTTGCTAACTGCTACTCACAGAAGCTGCCGCAGACTCAGCAGCGAGGACTGTAAACACGATATTAGAAACCCTCCGCAGGGGGAGAGTTAGAAATTCAGAGGAATATAAAAGTGCATCAGGAAATAAAGTTCATACTGATGTTGTACCTTACCATACTAACGATCCAGGTGCTAGATTAGGCAAAAGTAGTTTATGTAGTACCCCTCATTGATCCTTACTTCGAGCATGTTGTCCTACGAAAACGGTGGTTATGGGGTTTTATGGGTGGGGAATTAGGACACGCAGTGGAATAAACTTTAATAACCGCTATGTACATTTTAATTTTATTGTATTTAGAAGTATTGTTAATTTACATCTGTAGATTTTCCTAAGCTGTATAATCATTTAACGTATTGCGGAAAAACACAATTATAAAATTGCAGGTTTCTTGATATTCCCGAAGAATAGAACGGTGGTTAGGAGGTGGTTTATTTCAACTTACCGTTCTGGAGTTAGATTAGTATAATCCGCGGCTGGAAGCGCCGCGCACACCTTCAATTTACATGCGAAACAACCTGCTCTCAGCGGCCGTGGGAAGCAACTTCGACTACATTTTTTCACTTTGCACTTGCTTCTAAAATTTCCCTTCTCGGCCTATCCTATTCCCCCAACCACCAAAACCCTATAACCACCGTTTTCGTAAGACAAAATGCTGGGACTAGGGGCATATGAGGGTGACTACATAAGCTACTGTTGCCCTAGATAAAAGGCACAGACACGTTTTTTGCCGATATTCTGCCGCTGCTTGAAACAGCTGCGAGGGGTCCGGCTCACCAGTGGGTCTCTCAGCTTTTTCTGTTTGCTTTCTAGTTGATAAACGGGTTTTAAAATTTCAGCTCTTTAATTTCCTTAGAAATTTATTCCTTTTCGTGGTATAAATCAGTATATTTAAGGTTTATAGACAGAGACCGTGGTTGACGGTTTTCGGCCCATATACACACTTTCAATTTCTATCTATGTCTATAGACCTTAAATATACTGATTTATACCACGACAAGAAATTAATTTCTAAGGAAATTAAAAAACTAAAATAATGTTCCTTCGCTCAGAAAGTCGTGGTTAGGCGTCGAAAATACAATACGGACAATGAAAATAGGAGCATGACGAACTTTCTGTTTTGAATCTGGTCAAGCATTTTATGAAAGGGAAAATTCGAATGAAAGTTTCCAACTGCTGTTTAAAAGAAAGCTAGTTATTGGGCAGATTTGCATAATTAATCTGAGCTGACTGTTAAAAATTCAGCGGTATTGTTGGAGTTAGAGTTCAGCACAGCAAATGCAATACTTGTCTTCAGCTTGCGTTCTACCTAGCTGAGCTATAAGGCCCCAACGGGAAGCAGTGCGTCGGATCATATTCGGATTTATTTACCCAATTAGCCTACTGCATGGTATGTACCTACTCATTTCTGATGCAGTAAGTAATCAAATAAGGAGTTTCCAAATAGAGAAACTAGTATGAACCAGGTGGTTACACGTATCGCAGTCTGGGTGATTACAATGTTGACTATTTACAACTCATGAACCTACTGTCATTGACCAAGAACGCAACCCAGGACGCAGAATTATTAAAAATTACTTCATATGAATTATACAAACTTGCCAAGACACCTCTCAATTAAGTGAACTTAGTGGTCTTTCAGTGGATTCTAGATGACTGTTCAGGAAGTCCTGCTTGGGTAATCAAGTAATCGGTTTAGAATTGGTAGACATCGTACGTTCTAGTAAGTTCGGCCGGTAAATCGATCCTTATTTCATTCAAATCACGCCTCTTAGCCAGAGCTTCTAAACGCAGATGTAAGAATTACTGACCCACTAGAAGTTTTGTCAGTTGACAAGAGTCTGCTTCACAACGCACGGAAAATGTTTGCATTTAAGTCAAGGTCACAAGGAAAGACTACCAGCCGTAGATCGAACAGCTCCTAATGGCAAGATTATGCGTATATTTTGTTGGAATATTCGCAAAGTAGTTTACACGGGGTCATCCAACGATAGCGAACTGAAAATAACAATGCTATCGCATACACTCTCACAAAAAGTCAACCGAAATTCTGAAATGTTTTCCATTCGAATAAATTACTAAAGTATACTTTTAATATCTGTACCCTACGGCCCGATTTCAATATACTCCATTTACTTAAAGATACCGGCTGTTTGAAAAAATTGCATTCCGGACACATGTAAAAAGAACTGTATGTAAAAAACGACTACTTTTGTCGTGTGTATTTCTTCCAATTATTTTTGCTGCCCTTTGAAATTTAAATATGTTTTATAGAAAAGGCATGCAAAATATTACTTCTGGTACCCATTTTAGTAGTAAAGTATGACTCCTTTAAGTGTTTCTTTCTGTTTTAAAAACATCTCCGACTCCCGATTAACTTTGACTATCGTTACACGTGCACTTAGCGTTTCCAAATTACATGCGGTATATATTTTATTCAAAATGTTACCCATTTCTTTACGCTATGAGGATGACGTCACATAATGTCCATAAAATTTTGCCTTGGCTGTGGGCTGTGTCGTATGTTTTATACGTAAAATTGCTAAATGGCCAGATACGACACAGTTGAAGTCAAGACACTGTCTGTTGTCACCAGGGGCCATTTTTTAGTCAAGTGTGTTATAATTATTCGTTATAATCGTGATATTTGGGTAGCACATATAGAAAATCCAATAATTGGGGTTCGCTACTGTCAGTAGTTTCGTCAAAGTTGTGTTGTCCAGTTTTAGTCAGAGTTATTTGAAATACAAGCGTTACTAAAAGGGACCGGAGTAATTCATCTTCCTATAAGAGTTTTTAAATCAATATGCAGGACCTAGTAGTTTAGCTGCTTGAATGACAAAGAAAGGAGGTCAATATGTGCCTTCATGGTCTTACTTGAGTGCCTTGGCTTATAGTTGCCGACAGCGCAGCTTACACCAAGCGAAGCTCGAAACTGAAGGCACCTCGATTGTGAAAACGCACGAAAAAAAGCACGGACTACTGTAGGCTGTGTTGAACCAAGTTTATTGGCAAGGAGAGAGACAGAGAGAGAGATAGATAGAGTGAAATGTCTTTGCAAAGTAGAGGAAGAACGAATTACTGCGCATGGCTTTGTAGGAGCCATGAGCACACACAGACAAAAAGTAATGCAGACATTTGCAAAGCACAATGAATAACAGTCGATCTTCCAGAGCTGAAGCAGACACACAGGCTTCTCGCATACGTGTCAGGGCCAGGGACTGCGAACCATCTGACCGTGTCGCCGTCGGGCAAGCGCTCTGCCAACAGCACGCTTGACAATGGCCCGACTGCAACAGCGCAGGGCGTTCTCATCCTCAAAGAAGAATTTGGTAGTGAAGTTAGCTGGTGTGCCAGCGTACTTGTACTGCTTTCTTTCGGTGTCATCCAGGGGCGGGAGCTTGTCCTCTACCATGGCTCGAGAGAGGGCTTTGGCCATCACTAAAACCGCAACGTCCTCTGCACTGCAACGCAACTCTGCTCTCCGTCGCTGTTCTTCTGGATCTGTGAAACAGAAAAAAACAGAATTTGTAGTTGCTGGATGTTAAATATGGTAAGTAGTGGTTTTTTGTAGATTTGATTAATTCGTTTGGCCTACTTGTGGAAAAAAACAAACAGCCTCGGTTGGATTAGGAATGTAGGGTCTAAGCTGTGACTGAGCCTAGGAGCACTATAATCATCAGATCGAATCCCAAGTCATTGGTAAAATACAATGATATAAGGGGAGGGCAGAGTTAACAAAAGTTTATGCAATTTATCAGTAGTATTAAGTTGGTTTGGCAGATTTGCTTAATTTGAGTTGATCCAAGTGTGAAA